AAGAAAACAAAGACAGAAAACGCTGACAATACACTCTACTTTGAAGATCTTACTATTGAAAAGATGATAACATGAGGTAACCAAGAATTTCTACAGACATGTAATTTATCCCAAAATTTACTGAAATTGATATAGATAAGCAGAGAGAGAGAGAGGGAGAGAGATTATTGATATTTAACATCTTTATCAATTAGTAGTGCTCCTAAATAATAGTGAAGAAAAGGTAAGACACTCAAAGAGTAGTAAAAATACCCATAAGATACTCAAGAGAGAGGAAATATAAGCGCTTTGGATCTTTCCTCTTGAAGTATTGATGGGTATCATGCCAACGTTCAATCAACCGGTCTCTTACACTATGTGATAATGCCTACAGATACCATAATATCAAAACCAACTTATGGAATGAAATCTCAAAAATATGACAACAGAAAATACTAAAGTAAAACGTAACTGTATCTTGAATTATTAATCATTGTTGAAACTTGTTTTCAAGGTAAATCCAAAACACAGTATGCATGAATAGAACAATAAATGTTTCTCTGAAACAAATAAAAGATAGGTGTTTTGATCAAAAAATAAAATAAAAATAAAAGATAGGTGTGAAACACTTTTTTTACAGTAGAATCCAATTGCATGGAGAAGTAGATTATTTGATGTTAAAATTAATCATTGCGCCAAGAGCATATAATTTGAAAGTTGGAAAATGTTATCCCAAATTGGTTCAATTAACACTTTTTTTAACAATAATCTGTAAATTAACTTCAGAAACCACTAAAATAATTGGTATTCAACCAAGTGAATGACAGGATATGTTCCTTTTCAGAGGCATTTTACTCGAAAATTTTCATGATTTATTTTCTGCATACAGATAAACAGACCTTCCAATTTTGATATCTTAACGAAATTCCTCCAAATCTCCTGATCTCCTCTATGAAGGTAAATAAGATACCATCATGGGAAACACCAAGGAGTTGGTGAATCAACCCAAATTTACTGGATAGCATACTTGAATGCTGGGGATTGATCCATTTGCATCCATACCTATCAAGGTAATGTATAGGAAACAGGACATCTATTGGGGGGCACCTTTATCTCATGCCATATTTACACGCATGTCAGGTGGCCTCTTAGCCAAGGAAAAGGGCAAGCCAAACACCCTTATCATATGTTGTACACTATATTGCATTTTATTTATGCTATAAAATAAATATGATTAATTATTTCATTTGCTTGGATTCTTGATTCAATGTTCCTTTTGTTGGATCCTTTGTTCTGTAATGCTCATTTTCTTGAATCCATTGACTCATGCCTTTTTTCTCATCGTTCTACTGACTTGATTTCAAATACGCCTTACTATTGCATGAACGTATAGTGCATTCCTTACTATATGTCCATCGTGCTTTTTATGTCATTTTCTTGAATCCACTAAGTTATTGTTCCTGTAATAAAATTAATGATTTCAAATATTCCTTACTGCTTTATCAACTGAACTTATACTGTATGGACTATTTCAATTTATGATTAAAGGGTAAAATTGCCTTAAAAAATTAGATGGTTTAATGTGTTTATATATGCAAAATTTCTTTATTATTGACTTTCTTTTAGTATTTTTTCCAATACAAAATAATAAGAAATTGAAAATAGGGAACATGTCAACATGGATCATACTACTTAAATAAAGGTTTTATTTGTCAAAAAACCACCACCCAACTAGAACTAAGGCAATCACACTCAAGCGCTTAGGTGACAAGAAGTACCCTATTGCCTTGTCTCACCTTTCCACCTCAATAACTGTTTCTACATCACACTAATAATATAGCCTTGGATGCACTAATAATTCTCTCTGCATGATAAATATTTGGTGATTAGAAGTTCTACAAACCTAACGATGGGCTGTTCTCGACTAGTAATGCCCCTAATGGAGGAGTGGACTATGTTAAAGCTAAGATCCTTGTTCTTTTAACGGGTTTCCAGATAGCAAAACAAGCAACCCTTTCAAAGCAGAGGTCCTCACTCTCTTGGAAGGCTTTACTTCCTCAAGAAAATAGCCACTTTTTGTTTCAAAACTAACTTTACTGATTTTACCTCGTTATCTTCACTAAAAATGACCACCTTTCTGGAATCAGATATTAGAATCTTCTCAACGGAAGTGTCAAAGTTGTCCATGTAATTAGTTTTATGAATCCTCTTCCCTTTTTATTTGAACGCCAAAAATCAGGTTAGATTTCAGTTATCACCGTCATTTACTAATGCTAGAAGACCGCTACAAATGATAGTTCAAATCAATACCGGTATAAAGTTCATTCTCTCTAATAAATTTCAAGTAGAAACAAACTGCATTACCTGGTAAGCCTCAAAATCATCGAAACTAAATCGCGATCTTGCCACCGTATACTCGACGTGATGTAAGATGTCCTTCTGAAGGCTAAGCGGATCATTTTTAAGAAAGCCATCCATCAATCCAAACATCCTCTCTGCCTTGGCCCTCCGCTCCCCGGACTCCATTAACAACCCAGCTCTTCGCACAACAATCCCTCTCGAAGGCACTGACGAGGACACCGAAAAAACTCCATCACCGTCATCAATAGCCTCCATCAAAGCATTCTTGATCTTATCCAAGCTGCCATGGTCGACAATCTTCCTCCCATGTGAATCAGTCACGAAGAACTTCTTAACGAAGAATTCGCCCTCAAATTCAACAATGGCCTTCTCGATTTTCAACCCGAGTACCTTGAAAACTCTAGTAATGACCTGAAGAAGACCGATCCTATTGCGAGCTTTGATCTGGAAGGCCGTCGAGTCGTCGGACTCATTGTTATCGACGCTTATGCTCGAAGTCTCGGTTATCGTCTCACTGGAAGCTCGAAGAGGCTTGATTTGACGAGAAGAGTTACGGAGAAGAGGAAAAGACGAGCATGGCTTTGATGAGCCAGAAAATGAGGAGACCAGAAGAAGGGAAGCCGAAGAGGAGAGCTCTGTATGGTGCGGATAGAAGGTGAGAAGAGAAGATGAGATCAAAGACATTGAAGAGAAAACAGAGTTGCAGAGAAGATGGATTAATGGATTTTCCACAGCTGACCGATTTCGATGTTCGAAGGAGACGAAGGCAGTCTCTGCAGGCTGCAGCAACAGTCGAGTAAGCCAGTGGAGAGTCTCGAGACTGGAGACCGTATATTCGGTTGTATGAATTAAAAAATTGAAGATTAGGCAATTAATAATAGTACATTAACTTTGATAAAAATGATCACGATTCAAGTGATTGTGTGGATAAGATGGTCATTTTATCCCGAGCTTGGGCCTTTCGGTTTTGGGTAAAGCGAGGCGAGCATGGCGGTTGAAATCAACGGCTTTCTATCCGCTTTTGGTGATGGAGGGCACGGGTTTCAGGTGTCACCCGTGGCATTTCTGTTGTATCCTTTCACTCACGGGAATTCGAATACTCGACGGTTTTCAGATGCTGTTGGATCTATTAGGATACGCCACGCAAGCTTGACGGTAAGATACACATGTTTGAAGCTGGCGTGTGTCCACACAATCATCTCACACGTGTAAATTGAAATACACGAAAAGTTGATCAACCCACATTTGCTACGATAGTATCCTAGCCCTGCGCTGAAACTAGTAAACAAGAGCCTTTTGATATGCTATCACTTGAATTAGATGAAGTGACCCTTTGATGGGGCCACTGCATTAAATCAAGGTTGATATCACGATATGGGCCTCGGGGCGCTGAGGCTTTAGGCCCGTGTGGAATGCGGATAGGGGGTAAGCATTATTCGGTTAAAATCGAACTGAAAATTTTAGTTTCTGTTTTATTTGGTTAATTTAATTTTTGAAAATTTTAGTTTAATTAATTTAGTTTTTATAAATTTCGGTTTCAGAATTAAAATTTTCGTTAATTGAAAGAATGGAATTAGTCAAAATTCATTATATAATATGTAATATATAATATATAATATACTATGTATTTATATATTAATATATTATAATGAAATTTAGTTTCATAATATATTATACATTATAATATATAATATTTTATGTATCTTAATAAAATTCGATTTTAACCAAAAACTGAATCAAAAATTTTGATTTTCTTATAATTCAATTCCAATTCGATTTTATTTTTTATTTCAGTTTTTAAAATTTTGATTTATTCGATTTAGTTTTTAATCGAATAACAGAATACTCACCCCACCACCGAGTTTGTCCGAGGGTTCAAATACAAGCATATTTTAAAACCCACGGAATGGGCTATAAGTATTAGACCCGATTATTTTTTTGAGTTGGGCTACTTTTTAAATAAGTCTAGCAAAGCCTGAACCCGATAATTGGGCATTAGGTAACGACTTATATCGTCCAACCCTAATCTTTTCAATTTATTCCCTTCTCATTTTCCATTTTTTGTGTTGGATTTGGATATTGTGTGTTTTGTATTTTTGTCTTTTTTTTTCTTTGAACTTGGGTGTATAATTGTGATCTCAATGTGACAATATTTTTTATGTGCAAAATGTGTGTTGAAATGGGAGAAAGAAAGTATGAACTTAAAATATAAAACTAAAATATTTCATAACATACATGATACTTTGGGCTTTATATTAGGGTCGGGCTCAGGGGCAAGAATAGGCTGATAGTTGGGCGAGGGCCAATTGGTTCAGTGAACAAGTTGCCTCTGCAACTGTTGTGATCATCGAGCTCTAGGGCCAATTGGTCCATGGGTTGCATTTTTTGGCCTAAAAGGAAAGTAAAATTTTTCAAACTAAAATGTTTTAGGTCCGACTATGATATCGAAAATCATATCCTTTTCAAAATCCTTGGTAATGCAATGTTTACAATAATTGTCGGATTTGCTTTAGTAACTGGTAACTATTTATTTTATATTATAAATAAATTTTAAAATATCCAAAAAACTAAATAGATGTTTTAACCTATTCATTAAGCCGATTCATCCGTTACTCGCACTCATCTTCTTCTGGTCTCCTCTTCTAGCCAAACTTCTCCGTCTCAGAGTCCAGTTTAAATCAACAGAGTCAATGTACAATGCATTCGATCAGTATTCAGTTGATTAATCATTTCTCACTCTCCACATGTATATTCTTCTTCTTCTTCTTCTTCTTCAACTGGCAATTATTTCCTCTCCCTTCTCATACTTTCTACCCCTGGTTGTTGATTCCATCTCCCTTCTCATCTTGTTACCTCCCAATCGGCCAATTACCGCCAGTAGTTTGATTTTGTCTCCTTATTTCTTGTAGATATTTTTTTTTCTGAACGCAATAAGCTCACCAAAGTCTTCAATTGCTGTTGCTTGCCCCCATTGGCTTGGTCTTCTTGCCACAACATCAAATCCCGAGGTGATATAAAGAAGGTAAGTACCTTCCCTGCTTTTGATTTAAATCTATAGTTGTTCTTTTGGTTCGTACATATAGCCATAGGTGACTCAAATTGTATTTTTTGTGTTTGTGTTTTGGATCATGCATGTTTATGAACAATTTCACTTCTTCCTGGCTCAACTTTGTCATTGGAGAACAGATTTAGAATTGAATCTGGAATTGATTGATCCTATTTAGTTTATGAATGCATCCAAGACTGATATGCGTCAATCATCAATACCCACCATATGGTTGAATCAGTGTCCCTTCAATAGATTCATCCATTAGTTTATATAAAAGGTTTCTTTATGTTACCAAGCAGTGTTGCTACCAAGTGCCTCAACCAATTTTCATTTGCCTCTTATTTGTCTTCGTGGAATTGGTAATTGCAACATTGGAAATGAGTATGATTGGTGTTCAATGTAAACTGCTAAATACTATAGAGTCAGGCTAGTTGCAAGTGGCGCATGTGCGTCGATTACACCGACCTGAACTGAGCTTGCTAGAGAGATTGCTTCCCCCTCCCCAGGATCGACCGCCTAGTGGACGCGACCTCAGGACACGAGTTGCTAAGCTTCCTGGATGCCTACTCGGGCTACAACCAAATCAGGATGGACCCGTCCGACGAGCAAAAAACCACCTTCATAACCGAGTTTGGCCTGTACTGCTACAAGGTTATGCCATTCGAACTGAAAAAATGCTAGGGCGACCTTTCAAAGGCTCGTGAATAAGCTGTTTCAGCCCTTAATTGGCACGAAGATAGAATGTTATGTAGACGACATGGTCGTCAAGACAATTTTCGCATAAATTAATACAAGACTTGCATTCCGTCTTTCAAATTCTGCGTCAATTTAGCATGAAACTAAACCCAAACAAGTGTGTCTTTGGTGTCACCTCGGGCAAGTTCCTAGGATACATCGTCAACCGGCGCGGTATTGAGGCCAACCCGGACAAAATAAAGGCCATCCTAGATATGAGACCACCCCGAAAAGTTAAGGAGGTTCAGAGGCTAAACGGCAGGATAGCCGCCTTGAGTCGTTTCGTGTCTAAGTCAGCAGACTGTTGCCTGCCCTTCTTCAAGGCAATAAAAGGCAAAGGGTTCGAGTGGAACCCGAATTGCCAGCTCGCATTTGACGAGCTCAAGAAATACCTCGCCAGCATCCCGGTGTTGGCAAGGCCTGAAGAGGGCGATGTTTTAGAACTGTACCTCTTGACAACCGACGAAGTGGTCAGTTCGGTACTGATAAAGGAAGCAAATCGGGTCCAACGACCCATCTACTATGTTAGTAAGATATTGCAGGGAGATAGTCCCAACAAGGTTACGAACAGAGTTCGGGTGAAACTGACCTATAGTAACGCCGAAGTGGTTCATGACTTCGACAATAAGAGGATGAAAGGGAAGGCGCAGCCCGGCAACGAGCTACTCCCGGAATATCACGATCTCATTCGGACCGTGCTCCCAAGGAAAGTCGCTCGGGGGTACAAAGTAAGTATACTTCCCGGGCAGGTTGTTCTGGACGATAAGGGACCAAAGCCTTTCGGACGTCATAGTGGAAGGTCCGAACTTATCTGGCACCCGACCTCGGCGGGAGGTGGATGCCAAACTACCCGAGGTGACTCGGCATACGGGCTCGAACTCGAGCTCTTCCTCGAGCTCTACCTCGGGCCCCGCCTCGGACTCACTAAGGCTGTCGGGAGCAGCAGCTCGGTTCGTAGAACCAGCATCGGATCCCCCAAGAGACTACCTAAACTACCCGAGCTAGACATCGAAACAAAAGAGGGCTTGAGGACTCACCAGGAAAAGCTATCGGACTACGAACAAGTGATGCGAGCTGACAGGCTTGGACGCGAGCTCAAGGAACAAATGCTGAAGGATGACGGAGGAAAGTGACAAGGGGCCCCCCATTATTTATAGCCACTGTACCCGCACATCAACGGCCAAGATCGAAACCATCCAACGGCTCCCCACGAAATCAGCTGTGCACTTCCCGAGGAAAAGACATTTTGGCGCGCGTTGTTTACGTTTAAAAATTTGAAATCGTTTACGCGCGTGAACTACACACAGCCCGGGACTGACCCTTGGTCGAACCAAGTCGACCCCGGTTGAACCAAGCCGACCCCGGTTGAGCCAAGAACACAAGCAGGTCAGACCAGAGAAGTCCCAGACCGAGGCCAAAGTGTCTCGAGGCAAATCCACCTGTCATCCTATGAACTCCCCACGTCGGGTCAAGACCCCGAGCATAGGGAGTGGGAGGCAATTGATGGAGGAAGATTTGACCCGACCCCTTGGCCATACGACATGTGGAAGCAACCAAGAGTGACTTGGCAGAAGCGCCAGTTTGGTACGACAGCGGGCCCACATCCCGAGCTCCGAGTTGAAGAGTCTCGAGCTCCCCCAAAGGGGGAACCTACAACCCGAACTCCAAGTTGAGGATTCCCGAGCTCCCCAAGGAGGAACCCGAGCTCTCCCTTCGAGGTCCTGAGTCTTGCAAAAAGCACAAAAGGCAAAGACCCAAACTGCCCACCCAGAGGCAGTTCGGGCCACACTTCTATCCGAGCTCAAGACTTCACCTCACACGCCACTTTGGCTCCAAGTGTCCTGACTGAACAACCGTACCTGGCGCCCAGGAGACCCGTACACGGAGGCGGCGCACCTGACTGATTAGGGGTCCGACACATGACAGCCGCCATCCAACGGTCACCTGCCACTGCCATCTTAGACGGATAGAGGCGGCCCTAGCAGCTGGCAGTGGAGGTTATGACACCCGAACTGGCAACTGGCAATGGAGGTTATGACACCCGAAATGACCCCCGATCTGGCAGAGGT